AACATTATAATACAATAAAATACAATCCCATTGATCTGAGTTCCTCTGAGATAGATAGACACCTTTATTCCTCATAGAATACGCATTTTTTTGAATTATTGCCGACTTGCTGCACTGCAAGTTAAAGACTAGCGCCCTCTAGAGTTCTTTTTTCCAAAATGAGAAGCAGTCAATGCCACACAAAAAATCATTTTCTATATTTTTACATATTTGATATATCATTTTACAAGGATTACGACAATGAAATAATAATATGGGATCACCGTACTTAGTTCGAAGGAAATCCATCAATACCATGGAGTGAAAATAGCATGTTTTGTCTTTTTCAGGGCATTTTACCATTGTTTTCTAAGGCAAGGATATATATCTCAATATTTCAAAATTTTGCTCACTGACATATGGTAAAAAAAGATATATAGTGTACAAGGTATTTTTTGATATATTAACATTATTTTTAATGTGTTTTTAATTGTGGACTATGGAAACCGCTGCTATAATGGCGTTTTATGCATATTATTAACATTTTCTCAAAAAAAAAACAGATTGACAGTGAATCAAAAAAGTTCACATACCGTTGACTAAAACGAATAATTGTAAACAGATTTTGACACAAAATATTGCTACTGTTAAATTTGCTAAAATATGAGCACATGTAAACAACTTGTGAGTAGCATTCTAGTCAGATCAATCAGTTTTTATTAAAAACTGTACACAAGAATTATTAAATTTGCATGAAAAAACAATCAAAAATTGTCCATGTACATTGCAAGAATTTGAAGGTATTTTTTAAAACTTGGAAAACTATACAGTGGTATGTACGTTGTATTTATTAAGATAAATTGTTCCATACCTGCTTACTTGATTGTCCAAATACAAATACTTGGGTATCCTAATTTGGGTATTTGATTATGAACCTAAATTGTATTTTGGCAACAGAGGGAAACCAGAAATTTCTATGGAAACAAGTTCAAACAACCTTCTTCCCCTTCCTCTATTTTGTATTTGCTGTCACTTACTTGATGGTACCTTCCACTCAGCAAAATCACAAACTTTTAACACATAACGTCAGCATATATTTTCCTAAGAATTACTGCCGAATTATTGCACTGCTAGTTAAGGTGTAGCGCCCCCTAGAGTTGATATTTTATTTTCAAGCATGAACAAGTTTTTACAAAAAATTAGCCAAATTATACATGTACAATTTACTGTATAATGACATGATTGTTTATATATTATTTTAAGATAAATTATTCCGCACCAGGTTATTTGAAAATTTCAGTACCCAAACAAGTTTTGGAAAATTGTACCTTGACGCATTTTGTCATTTTTTTAAATTAAGAGTAAGGCTCGATCATATGGAGAAGTGATTGAATTTCTTTTTAGATATGCAGAATGCAAAACTGTCAAAATGTGATTTGAAATTTTGCAAATATAAAGAGGTCAATTTGTAAAAACAAACCAGTTTCTGAAGATGTAGCAATAACTTTTTTGTGAACTTCTTTTCAAAGAAATTATAAATCATCCAACAAAGCTTTGAATGGACTTGAACATTCTCATAAGAAAAATTTAAGGTTTGAAGATTTTGTCAAAATTTCATTTTAGTGACCCAACTTTTTGGTAATACATAAATTACCGGTAAAGGGCGATTGTCGTCATGCCACACACGAGACTTTGACTGTTGCACAGGCCAACGAGTACAAACTGAGGGGTCACCAAATTAGGTAATTTCTTTAGTGATTGGAAGGCATCGAAGGAGCCACCGGCGGTAATTAGTACACATGGTGCCCAGTTCTAAACACATACTTACGATTTTATTAAAAAAGTTCACTGGATTGTGAGGAAAATCACTGTTTATCAACACTAATGTTGCAAATGTGATGACCAAAGCGATTGAATGTTGTTTTGTTCCATTTTACAGAAATAAAACAATCTGCTGTGCATAGGTGGCAAATTAATTACTTTGTCATGTACATACAACTAAATGTCTCAACCAATCAAATGTTTTCTATTTGTACAAAACTTTAACATTGAATGGTGACCAAAAACACTTTTCTGGTCCTGAACAGGACAAACAATATCAGATTCGTATTGAAGTTGCTCAGTTATGTAATTATTGTTTGTACCACAGTTGTTTTGAATTGGCCAATCACATTTTAGAATTTGTGTTTTTTTGTGTGTTTTGGCCATATCTTTCCTATTTCTGACTTAAGTAAATCCTTGTGCTTCATGAATGTACACTAGGTATAATTACTGTAAAAACTTGACCACTTTTAAATACACATGTAATTATTTTTGAAAAATGGCCGAAATACAAAATAACGATAATTTTTAGACAGTTGCAGAAATAGAACAGTTATAGAAAGTCATGTCTCTAAACAAATATTTTGAGTAAAAATGAGTGAGCAATTTCTGTTGAGGTCAAAATTTTGGAGGTCAATAAATTATAAAAAGTCACCAAATACATGTAATCAGGTGTCCGAATTTTTATAGTGGGTGAAATTTTAGAGTTTCTACGGTATCACATAAACATGATTCATATGATTAATAATTTCTTGCTGGCTCAACATTTGCAAAATGTTAAAAAAGAATGTTTTCTACTACCCCTCCCCAAAGGATGAAAAAAAAAACATTGTATCTATAATCATTTGACAATAAACTGTTCATTTTTTGTGGTAGAAATGTCATTTGTTTGTTTGTTTGGCTACACAGCAAAAGCAAAATTTGGTAAACCTAATTAACAGTTATCAAGGAAGGTGCTATCATTTTTTACTGTTGAAGGAAGTATATAAATAATGTATCGCCGATCTTGCTATTATTACAGCTTAATTTTCCGTTTCACCACCAGACTTTCTCGCCCAAATTTGTTTGCCCTTTTTTGCCTATATTCTTCAATATTTTTTGAATTTGTGATGAAAAAGGGAACTGGTGGTGAAAAAGTTAACATTGTACAAATTTATTGCCTATATGTTGGACACCTATCCTCGGGGGCGAGGCTACGTCACGGACGTTCTACGTTGCTAAGACGCGCACCACTGTACCACGTATTTCTATGGGCTCTGTGCGCGCTGCTGTGGAACGCCTGTGGAGACGGTGAAAACTCGAGAAAACAACACAAACTCAACTATGAAGTAATCCCGAACAACCAAATTCATATATGTTACACACGTAGGGCTAATCTTGTTACACTGTTCAGGGCACTCTCAACAACCATCGCAAAGTACCGTTTTCTGTGAGTTTTTGGTCTTTGTTTTCACCGCGAAGGTTGCCAGGCGGTAGAAAATGCCTGGATGTCCGCCCCGAGGATAAAGGGAGGGTTAACAACTGTCAGCATCCATCTACCTCAATAGGCCATTTTCATGACCCCTAAAGGTCACGTATTCTGGTACTTTCATGACCCCTAAAGGTTGCACATCCTGGTCCTTTCATGACCCCTAAAGGTCACGAATCGTTGGTATGACAGCATCACAAACATACACAAGTTTGGGCATTTTAATGCATTATTTTGTTCATAATAGAAACATTTTAATCCAGTAGCTAAAAGAAATATTTACATCTAGGAAATTGAGAGGAAATATTAAATAAATACTAATAAAATCAATTCATTATCATGTAAATACCAGAATGTGTGACCTTTCCACAATAACTCTGCCTACTTGTTGGACTGCCAGTTATTAAGTGTAGCGCCCTCTAGAGTTGACAATGACTTCCATCCATGAAATTTGCCTAAATAACACATTGACTAATTTGTCCACATATTTTAATACTCGTGGGTATTTAAAGACTTTGGGTACTATTATGGAGGTACACAAGTCATTAAATTAAAATATTCTATTCCTAGTATTTTGAAACAATTGGGTTACTCTAATCCATTAAGAGTATTCATTGAATTATAAACCAAAATTGTATTTAGCACTATTTCAAATCGAGGGTATGGCTTGACATTGGGAGGGACATTTCAAAGTTAAGGCACCCCCTCCCATTTTTTACCACTTGGGCAAATCACAAAGTTGTAGTTTTAATGGTTCGGTTCTAGAACTAAACAATTCATAGATTGGTGTTCAATTATAATAACTGAGGGGAACCATTTGAAATTTCAGGGGGTTGTGAAAGACTTGTATAAAAAAAAAATTGCAAGGTAGAAAATCTGATTAAAATAACATCCTAGTTTGGGCTTTTTTTTTTTTGTTAATATATATTTTCATATATTTTATTATTTTTTTTTATTTTTTTGCTGGTATTTTTTTTAAAGTTAAAAACAAAAAGCAAATAAATTGAAAAAAAATAATAAAGTATATGAAAAAAATATGAATGATATATTAACAAAAAAAAAAGCCCAAACTAGGATCTTATTTTAATCAGATTCCAAGGTAGACAGACATCAGAGGAGAGAAAATTGCAGGGAAATAATATTGAAAAATACATGTGATTGTAACTGCAGTTTCAGCTCTGGGTGGTGCAGTTGATAATATATACTCTAGTTAAAAATTGAGAACTATCACAGAACGCAGAATTTGTTGCCAAACGCCATACCTGTTTAAACATCATACACAAATTCCAGATGCATCGAAAAAGCCTAAGCCGAACGACAAGCTAGCTACCACTACTCTCAGATTGATCAGATTGTTATGTATTACAATAGAATCTGTATTAGAAGCCGCATCTCTAATATAAGTTGCACCCATTCTTTTATCAGATGCTGTAAGCTGCATCCCCTCTGTTGAAATGCAACATTTTAATAGAAGCCGCAGCTTCTAATACAGACTTTACAGTAGGTTTGGGTAGCCCATCAGGTACAATCTTGTAAGTAGCTTCACATTGATTTTATAAATTAAACTAATAAATTTTAAATGAGACGGGCAACATCAGTTGTCACATTGTTCATTGGAATAATTCTCAAGGATTACTGTGACAGTGTCTTGTGTCAAGAACACAAAGTCATCATAACATAAGAAATATACAACACAATTGCACACAAATAAAGACCCAATCCACGCAACATGTACATTTTTTTTATATATTTAATAGCCATGAGATGACCAAATGCACCCATATAAGTACAGCAGGGTCTGTCTCAAATACTCTAGAACGAACCATTGCCATGCTAAGTAGTAAACAATACCATCATTGTCATTATACAGAAGAAACATATAAACAACATATCTCACACACATAAAAGCTTCCGTTTTCAGGATGCCTAGTTTCAATTTTATTTAGATTTTTTTTTGTGGTGTTTTTTTTTTTTGTTTTTAACTTTTTTTGGGTTTCTACGCATAGACACTTTTGTATATGGAAAATAGATAAATTCCATGGCAAAAAGTGGCCACACACATAAAAAGGCATATCTTAGACTCTGTAATTACACGCTTTGGAAGAAGTTATCACATCGAAAAGTCATTATTATTAATTATTATTAATATTTATCGCACAGTCATTTAACAAAAAAAAAAATATTGGCATGATTGCAAGGACAAAGTCTTTTGGTAAGAAGGTAAATGTCGCAAATATCTTGTACGTTGCATTTCAGTAATCTCTCGTCTGTGAAAAATGTAAAAAGGTAGTTAGGTTTTTGCTTTTTTCAATGTTTTTTTTTTCTTTAAATTCTTCAAAAGTTAGGAAGGTACAGGATGGACTGACAAAGATGAGAAATGATTAGTATTCAATTGATCAAGCAATGATTGACATAAACGACAACCAATCAACGCATACCAGTAATGCTCCATTCAATTCCATCAGCTCATGATTGGACAATCAAAATATACCACAGTAGGGATTCTAAAAAGAAAAACTAACTTCACTGATTTTTTTTTTTGTACTTTTTTATCCTCTCTCTCTCTCTCTCTGCTGCTAATGTAAAAGATAACCTGCTTTGTTCTAAGTGCACCTTGTTACAATGTAAAAGTTTTCCTGAACAAACAAAAAAAAATTGATACTGAAAGAAATACCACAACCCCTGGGTGAGAGTTGCTTTGTGACGTGGGGCTATTTCATGTAAACATATAAGCACACCATTGTGAACCCAGGCAAATATCAATGGCAAGGCAGTACCCCTGGGTAAACACAGTAAAGTTTTGTTTTCAATATTACACTGAACCTTCTCCTAACAAGTTTTCAGGAAGGTAATTCATAGAGGTGGGACTGGAAATATGGTCGGCATCTCCATTACCTCCCCCCCATGGACTGCTAGGAGTAGGCGTTGCCTGCATGGACCACAAATGGTTGCCAGGCAGGCTTGGTAAATTAATTCCAGTAGTAGAACCACTCCAATGAGACATGCCACCACTACCACCGCTTCCGCCGCCACCACCACCACCACCACTGCTACTGCTGCTACTACTGGATGTCCCACTACTACCAGCATTAGTACCAGTGTTAGTACTACTACCCCCTGTACCACTAAACTTATTGCCACTCATGGACTGTGGCCATCCAGAGCTCTGATTGTTACGCTCTAACATGCGTGTCATTTCAGATGAAGAAAATTCAGCCATTATAGTAGTGTTCCCAAGTACACACATATGTAAAGCTTTCTGTGCTTTGGCAGCTTCATCACGAGTACCATATTGAATAAGAGCTTGTCCTTGGGACAGATTCAGATGGAATGTATGCAGAGGACCATGCTGTTTACACAACGTTTGCAAAGTTGAACCATCAATCTGTTAAAAGAAAAAAATTATTATTAATAATTGTCTTTCTTATTTCCACAATTAGGTTCTTTAATTATTTTCTCTGTGGTAATTATTGTATGTTGATAGTTGTTTATGAATGACAAAGTCAACTTTATAGTTTTTTAATAATGAAGATAAAGACCAATAGTCGAAAAATAATTATGTCACTTTTGTCTAATGAATTGCCAGGTAGGTAACCTTAGTTCAGTATCAGTACATACGTGGCACAAAAGCAGGGTGTAATATGCTCAATAATGGACATAATATTGTTTTTTTTTTTTTTTAGAATTTGCCTAATTATTCCCAGTGACTGAAGATTTGAAAGTTATCAAAAAAAAAATTGTAATTTGACTGTAATTTATATAATAATAATAATTTCTTTACCCGTATTTGTTACACATATATATTTACAAACACAGTTGTAATGAAAATTGTCACAGCTAAAAGGAACCTGAAATAGCTACACAGTTGATCAAGGCAGAACCTTTGTACATGTTTTTATAAAATTAAATATAATAGTGACAGCAGACAATTTTCAATTGAAAAAGGACTCCAGAGTAGAAGCTCACAACTAAGAAAAAACCACTGTCACAGTTTCCATGGAAACAGTTCTTTTTACATTTCCCATGGTCATCTGTGGCCATAGCTCAGACCACTTCACCAAGTATGATGAGTATTTTACAAATGACATTTGTCTTACCTGGGGTGTTAAGTTTCTCAGCACCAACCAATTATTTGGCATGTCTTGCTGTACATTATCACCACTACCCCAGTTAGAGGACCCTGGAAAGCCTGTAAAAATGATCAGACATGTCAACCTAGATAAAGCTTGTGCGAAAAGATTATGAATTTTTATATCAAAGCTAACATTTTAGTCGTTATTAGCAGTGTTGTAGTGTCTTGAATACTACAAACATTATATATACTGTTGAAAAACAAATCATGTAAAAGATGTGTAAGCAATGACTGCTGGCTGGCATACCTGATATGAAGTTTGATCTGCCACCATCCCAGCTAGTACTGCGAGATACTCCACTACCACTGCTACCTCCACCAGTACTCCAAGAAGGTTTGGGCTGGGGAGCCAGCCCTGGCGGTGGACGAGTTGGGGCACTGGTTTGTTTGAACGGCACGTTCCATAATGCTGCTGTTAGTGAAGTGGGTGGATAACTTTGTTGATAGTTTTCAGGATAATTCCATGCTGATTTTTTATTGCTGGGTGGAGGTGGTGCAGCCGTTGGAGGAAACGATGATGTGGGCCAGGATGTAGGTGCTCCTGGAGATGCTGCTGATGATATTGATGGTGATGAAGTTGGTGGCTGCATTGGTTTTATAAGAAGACCACGAATCTCATTTTCACGCTGCACCAAGTCTTCTCGAGAAGAGCTCCTGTTCATATTATTCGTTCCTAGAGTAGGGCCCAGGCCAATGGACAAGATAGACTGTGTGACACTACCGGGAGTGGCATCGGGATCATTTTCAACATCTTTTGTTTGGTATTTCCAGGGCACCCCAGGTTTAAATTCTGGTGGGAGGTCATTAGGCAGATTGGTAGGATTGATATCTGGTCTAGATGACGGCCATGAGTCTCCTACATCTGGATTGTCCAGAGGTCCTGGCGAGGTGTCTCGTGCCCAATGATCATGGAGTACTGGCATTGATTGACTGGTATGCATGGAAGGAGCAGCATGGTGGTCAGTGCCAAACTGACTGCCGAAGATATCTGAAGGCTTATTGGATTGTTTGTTGAAGAATTGTTGCAAGCGAGATTCTTTAGGACCCAAATCTTGATTCACATCAGAAGAATTGATTCCCAAAGCATTGGCAGAAGGCCCATCAGATGATGTGCTTTCCAGTTTCTGCTTCTGTTGCATCTGCTGCTGCTGGAGATTTAATTGACGTTGTTGCTGTATTATCTGCTGGTGTATGGCTGTAATCCTATGTTGTAACTCCTGCTGTCTTTGTGGCAACATTCCACCCATACCTGGCTTCCCACCAGCTGCATTCTGCGTCTGCTGCAGTAACTGTTGCTGCTGCACCAATTTAGTGTAGTTAAGGTGCATCTGGAAAAGTTGATTGACCATTACAACTTGCTGCGGTGTGACCTGCTGATGTAGCATATTTGGTTGGATTAAACCAGCTTGCGCAGCAAGCCGGAGAAGGGAGTGCACTTGCTGCATCATCAACTGTTGTTGCTGTTGCTGTTGCTGCTGCTGTAACATTTGTTGCTGCTGTGGTACCATATTTCTCAATCCTTGTTGCTGTTGTTGCTGCTGCTGTTGCTGCTGTAACAGTTGAGCTTGTTGTTGTTGTTGTTGTTGTAAAGAAGCAAGACGTTGCTGTAACTGCTGTTGCTGAGTCACTTGGCCAGTAATGCTGGGATTGGCAATGTTAGATGATATCATACCCTGATTCAAACCTTGCTTGTTGAAAGGCAGTTGCTGCTGATTCAGTTGCACATGATTAGGAAGAATAGAGGACGGAGACAAAGCATTTGAAGAGGAAATTGATTGCTGATTATCGCCTATTGGCAAGAAAGATTTATTCTCTTGAGTTTGGTTGTCGTTGAGTGACAAGTTCTCTAGTTCTTTGTTCAGTGGCGTTGAGGGTGTTGATCCATCTGAACTTTGCTGTAAGGAATGCACGGAATGAACTGATTCTTTGCGATGACGTTCCAAGCTGTCTATACCTTGCTTTGCAGGATCATTAGCATCTTGTCCCAATCCAAGCAGCTCACCTGTTAAAGAAATAAACATTAAAAAGGGAAAGAGGCATGGCATGTTACTGGTATGTTTGTTTTAACATTATAAAGTGACACTGTCCTTAGAACGCCACATGTGCACTGTCTACGGTATATTTTCTGGTTGGTTTTGCTGTACATCATGTACATAAATTATATACACTGATTATACAATATGGCCAAGTTATAAACTGGCTCAGGATTGTAGCTAGAAATTTACCCCACTAGTTATTCTAAATTCTTTTTGTATTCACTAGATTGCCTGTAAAAATGTGTACATGGCTCTTAGCAGCACTGTAAAAAGTGTTTGCTATGTTCGTTTTATGTTTTGTAAATCGCTACCCATGCACATGTTCAGTTATAGAAACAGTGTAGCTTTAAACATGTGACAGAAATCAAAGGGATTCAGTTTGTTTTAAAACATCAGCCATTGAAAACCTCTAAAGATAGCTGGCATGAATGGTATAAAACAGCGTCAACAGATGATGAGTCCAGATTTTGACTCGTAAAACAAGACGAGTCTTAAGGTAGGTAAAAAAAAAAAAAAAATCGTACAGAAAGATTTTGGAGTTGAGGTTCTCTGAATAGGAATATCAGCACATTGCTCAAGTTAAAATGCTGTTTTAGAGAAATATAATGGATTGAATAGTAAATCTTATTCAACCAATCAGAACTGATACTGTAAAATACTTGATTTCCACCGATTCATCCCATCAGCGAAAATAAATTTCAAGTGGAAATAAAGCACTTTACAGTAGCTAGAAAATCACTGTTACACATGTACACCAACATTAGTAATGTAGAGCCCACTAAACAATCCTTATTGCCCTAATATCAAGATATTCAACTTTAATATCTGAAAACCTACACCATATTTGCTCAATTAGAAGCGTGTCTCAATGTAAACCCAAACTGGTTTTGTTTCGGAAAGTTTGAAAGGTGGTCATCACAACATATTGAATTGATATGGGTAAGAAGGTAAGAATACAATATGTGTAAAATTCAAATTCAAACAGCAATGACACCTTTGAGTACACCAACACTTGATCAATTATGCTAATGGTCATTTACATAAACATGTCCAAAAGAGCAGATATGATATGTGCAATGATTATTTATGTGTCCTTTAAAATCTCTAAAATTTACACAAGCACAAATAAACAACATAAAAAATATAATAAAATTGTAAATTTGGCTCTCCCATGAAAATAGTATCACTAACGACATCATAAAAATGTTTACTTAAAGCAGCAGTCTTACAGCTAACAGCAACATAGTACTGCATTGGGAAAGTTTAACTTTCACTATTTGTATATTAAGGTATGAAAATTCTTCTCGCACTGGCAAGACAGCTTCTCCTATCAAGATTTGGTGAAGCCAAACTAAACCATATGACGCACAACCTGGTCCAGTAACTGAACTAGTATCATATAAATTTCACTTCAGATATCAGGGAAGCATGTATACAAACTCTGAATAGCTTCATTTTCCCTGCAATACCTAATAGTGGATATAGAGGCCACAGTACCATCTAATAGCCTTCTAACTAAGTGTAATTTTTAGTTGTCATCAAGATAGTCTACTTTTACTGACATAGCCATGAAATTTGACATAACATGAAGGTAATCTCATACACAAGCGTAGCTTGTCCTTTCCCAATTTGTTTACTACTTATCAATGCTCTTTTAAATTAACACAAATAATTGCAGCATTTTTATCAGCTGCAAAAAGCTGTCGTGAGTAGGCGCTTACTTATGAAAGATCCAGGAGATGTGCACCCAAACATAGAATCTTGTTTCACTGCAAAACCACCAGTTCCATTCAGCATAGTTTTCAATCTGACTATAAGTTGGATAAACAAACATGACAGAAGTACAGTGACGTTATTGGACAAGTCCACATATGGTTGCAGTATATAATGTGAGTATTGTTGAGTATCAAGAATGTTTGCAACACAGAAAATCTTGCAGAGACAAGCCAAACATATATGTGATATGGGTAAACATAACCTTTGAAAAGAGTAGCTATAACAAGACGAGGTTGAAATCCTGTGTTACATGCATTCCATGACTCAGGGAAGGATTAGAATAAGATGAGATATGTACACTTACCTACTGCACCCTCCATGTTCATACTGTTTTTCTTCAATACCCTTTCAGCCAATTCTCTCTTGAAGCCCATATCCATGAGTTGTTTTAAATATTTATTCATCCAAGCAGTGTTGACATCTTTTGATGGTGGAGGTTTAGTATTAGCACCCTGAAATAAGACACGCTACTATAATCAGATTCTATTCTATTTATTTTCTAAGCACGGATAGAAATTTGGGAGCATCAACTCTCTGTCCCTCTCTCTCCACCACCCTACATTGCATGATAGATTATGATTGGTGATGGTGAATTATTTTAAGAGCAATAAAGAGACAGAGTTTATAGTGATGGTGTTGTTGACAATTATGGGGAAAAATTCTTGTGATGTTGTAGTATAAATTTGTTTGTTTAATCATTAACTATGTGTGTCTGTGGACAACTCCAGGAGCATCAGAGTGAGCATCAGGGTGTCTGGACAATTCTAGGAGCATCAGGGTGTCTGGCACAACTCTAGTAGCATCAGGGTGTCTGGGACAATTCTAGGAACATCAGGGTGTCTGGGACAATTCTAGGAGTATCAGGGTGTCTGGGACAATTCAAGGAGCATCAGGGTGTCTGGGAAAATTCAAGGAGCATAAGGCTGTCTGGGGGACAATTCTAGGAGAATCAAGGTGTCTGGGACAATTCTAGGAGCATCAGGGTGTCTGGGGGATAATTCTAGGAGCATCAGGGTGTCTGGGACAATTCAAGGAGCATCAGGGTGTCTGGGACAATTCAAGGAGCATCAGGGTGTCTGGGACAATTCTAGGAGCATCAGGGTGTCTGGGGGATAATTTTAGGAGCATCAGGGTGTCTGGGACGATTCAAGGAGCATCAGGCTGTCTGGACGATTCTAGGAGCATCAGGGTGTCTGGGACAATTCTAGGAGCATCAGGGTGTCTGGGACAATTCTAGGAGCATCAGGGTGTCTGGAACAATTCTAGGAGCATCAGGGTGTCTGGGACAATTCTAGGAGCATCAGGGTGTCTGGGACAATTCTAGGAGCATCAGGGTGTCTGGGACAACTCTAGGAGCATCAGGGTGTCCGGGACAATTCTAGGAGCGTCAGGGCGTCTGGGTCAATTCTAGGAGAATCAAGGTGTCTGGGACAATTCTAGGAGCATCAGGGTGTCTGGGACAACTCTAGTAGCATCAGGGTGTCTGGGACAATTCTAGGAGCATCAGGGTGTCTGGGAAAATTCAAGGAGCATCAGGGTGTCTGGGGTGATAATTCTAGGAGCATCAGGCTGTCTGGGGGAGGATTCTAGGAGCATCAGGGTGTCTGGAACAATTCTAGGAGAATCAAGGTGTCTGGGACAATTCTAAGAGCATCAGGGTGTCTGGGACAATTCTAGGAGCATCAGGGCGTCTGGGTCAATTCTAGGAGAATCAAGGTGTCTGGGACAATTCTAGGAGCATCAGGGTGTCTGGGACAACTCTAGGAGCATCAGGGTGTCCGGGACAATTCTAGGAGCGTCAGGGCGTCTGGGTCAATTCTAGGAGAATCAAGGTGTCTGGGACAATTCTAGGAGCATCAGGGTGTCTGGGACAACTCTAGTAGCATCAGGGTGTCTGGGACAATTCTAGGAGCATCAGGGTGTCTGGGAAAATTCAAGGAGCATCAGGCTGTCTGGGGTGATAATTCTAGGAGCATCAGGCTGTCTGGGGGACGATTCTAGGAGCATCAGGGTGTCTGGAACAATTCTAGGAGAATCAAGGTGTCTGGGACAATTCTAAGAGCATCAGGGTGTCTGGGACAATTCTAGGAGCATCAGGGCGTCTGGGTCAATTCTAGGAGAATCAAGGTGTCTGGGACAATTCTAGGAGCATCAGGGTGTCTGGGACAACTCTAGGAGCATCAGGGTGTCCGGGACAATTCTAGGAGCATCAGGGCGCCTGGGTCAATTCTAGGAGAATCAAGGTGTCTGGGACAATTCTAGGAGCATCAGGGTGTCTGGGACAACTCTAGGAGCATCAGGGTGTCCGGGACAATTCTAGGAGCATCAGGGCGTCTGGGTCAATTCTAGGAGAATCAAGGTGTCTGGGACAATTCTAGGAGCATCAGGGTGTCTGGGACAACTCTAGTAGCATCAGGGTGTCTGGGTCAATTCTAGGAGTATCAGGGTGTCTGGGTCAATTCTAGGAGTATCAGGGTGTCTGGGTCAATTCTAGGAGTATTAAGGTGTCTGGGTCAATTCTAGGAGTATCAGGGTGTCTGGGTCAATTCTAGGAGTATCAGGGTGTCTGGGACAATTCTAGGAGCATCAGGCTGTCTGGAAGTGTGCAGTTGTTCATACCTGAAGATAAAATAATGGTGTTATTTGTTGAATATACATGCATGTGTCCCTGTTAATACAACAGCAATGGGCAATGTTGTCATAGCCGATCCTGAGCTAGTCTCGAATTCAGGCATTCGCAATGTAAACAAATAATGTCACAGTATGAAGGTCTATTGTCAAATTTAAATCTAAGTGCAACAAATTCTTCTAAACAATTTTTGTGGTGCAACATTTTCTCAACAAGTCTTAATTTGATAGGAGATCATATGATTTTATCTGCCATTTACACGAGTACAAAGCATTACCAGATAACTGACATATGGCAGAACAGGCGATCGTGAATGAAAGATGACTAACCCTTTGTTTTACCTTGATCCATCCCCCACTACCACGAGATGATTCACTGTCCTGAGATCCTTTCTCCCAACGATCTTCATCTCCCCAATGACCTGAATGAGAAAAGAAAACAAGTCAGTTCACTGTTAACTAGCATCATTGTTGCTAACTGGTACCACTAACCACCTTAGTTAACTTGTACCACTGCTAACTGGTACAACTGACCATCTTTGCTGTTACACTAACAATTCTCATTTACAGAAACTACTAAGATTCTCATTGTTCCATAGTAATAAATCTTATTTTGAAGTATTTAATTTGGCTACAACCTAAATGTCATGTTTGTTTTTAAGTACCGGTATTTGTTTGCCAGTCTTTAGCTGTTGACAAAGCCTGGCATGTAGTTGTTGTATCATGCCAAATTCATGATGACAGTTAGGGAGCAACAACTGCATGCATTTTGGGTATGCTATGACAGTGAATGTGCCAGTAAACCAGGTAATTACAGTCATGTGTAGTAACAGTAATACATCAAGTTTATGTTAAACAGAAAAACAGATAGCCTTTGCCTATACTGTAATATACTACATGACAATGTAATTATCATAGTAACTATGACAAGTTCAAAAACATTTTGGAAAAAAGTAATTTTCAGAGATCCAAATCTCCTTGTGAACATAGAGGGTGGCTTCGGGAGAAATGTGTGCAGTCAGTACACATAATAGCTTACCTATAGATGGATCATCTTGCATAGATTCCTTGGAATTCATACCACTGTTGTTCCAGTTTGTATCAGATGGAGGCTCTCCCCAGCCAGATGACCCGCGGGGTGGTGCAGCAACTTTCCAAGCTGAGGTACCGTCATCCACCTTGTGATTGGTTTGTGGAGTTGGATCTCCCCAACTGGAAACCTTGTGTGCGTTGGGGGCAGCCCCGCCCCAAACAGAGGTTCCATTGTCTGGTTTCATCTGCGAGGCTTGTGGCATGATGTTCTGTTGGACAGTTGGTCTTATAGGCTGTTGTCCTGTAGAGCTACCCATCACAGGTTGCTGAGCTTGCATAGTACTGTTACGTTGGTTAGAAGGTGGGTTTGTCCAATTGGATTGCATCGTAGCCTTGGCATTTACCTCAGATGGGTTGCCCCATGCTGAGGTACCATCATCCACTTGAGGTTGTTTGCGTGCTGTTGGTGGAGATGGTTCATCCCAACCAGTTGGTTTTATATCAGCGGTTACTTCATGTGGGTCGATACCAATCCAACCAGGACCTGTGATCTTACTGGGTGTCTTAGGGGTAGTTGGTGTTGTTACACTAGAATGGGTGCTGCTCCCACCCCATGCACTAGAACCAGTATCATTGATAGGCGGGTTTCCCCAAGATGGACTAGCAATGTCCATGTTATGATTACCAGTATGAGCAGCACTACCCCAACCAGTGGGATTACTATTAGTACTGCTACTACCAGCCCAGCTATTGTGTCTAGTACTGTCTGGTACTGGTGGTTGCTGCTGCTGTTGTGGCTGTGTATTGCTGCTATTGCTTCTCCATACCTTTCTCTCTTCATTTGGATTAGTACTTTGCTGCTGATTGTGATTGCCCCATGCATTACCACCAGCATTGGGACCAGAATTAACTGGGCCACTAGCGTTAACTGGGATGCTGCCACTGCCAGGATTACGTTCATTACCATTACCACTGCCATTACCATTGTTGTTGACATTCTTTGCCCATACACCGGTGCCTGTCAGGTCATGGCTGCTGCTGTTCCAGTGATTACTACTATTCCATTCACCAGTTTCCGCATTACCCCAAGCACCACTACTGGTACCACCATTGTCACAACTGTTTGTCTTACCCCATGCATTACCACTATCTTCATTCGCTTTCTTGCTTGCCCCCCATGCTTGGGTTCCGTTCTTATGTTCAGCAGGTGTCTCCCAAGTATTTGATTCTTTGTTCACCGCAGGTGGTGATTTATCTTTAGTCCAGGCAGTATTCTGTTTAACAGGCGTCTTGCCCCACCCATCATTGCTATTGACAGCTTCTTCAATAATTGCATCTAAAGATTTCTTATTTGGCTGAGTTTCCTCTTGTCGTGGATCTTGCACATTTCCCTTGTTGGCAGTCTTTGCCCAGGAGTTTTCTGTACTACTACTCCCTGTATTTCCACCCCATCCTGAAGTACTTGTTTGTGTTGGGGTAACTGGGGTACCCCAAGCATTAACTTGTTGATTGCCACCCCAAGCCTGGCCAACGGTTGGAGTGGTAGGATTAGAATTACTGTTTGGATTGGTTGGTTTCTGTCCACTAGTTCCCCATCCCTGGGAATTGCTCCCTGTTGCACCATGAGATTTACCCCAGTCATTAGCACTACCCGGATTACTGTTTATATTTGAATTATGTGTCCCCCAGTTCTGTGAACTGCTGGGACTAAGTTTACCAGTATTGGTTGTACTCCAATTTCCTAGAAGACAAACAAAAAATAAACAACTGATTAACAAGAAGACAACAAGACATGAAATGTCACAGTCCCTGTTATTTGATTATAAAGTTGTACAAGGAACATCTGCAAACAGGAGAATAAATATGTACTCTTTGTGGTTACGACACATCATAAAGTGATTTCCCATGTTCAGAATCTCAGAGTACACAAGTGCAACAAAACTATTTGTCATGCATGTATACTTGCTCAAGAAACTGCATTCATAAATCTGAGTGAACCTTGATGTACATGACTTCTTTGTTAATTCAGGTCTTAGTATAATAATAATCTTTATTGCATAATCATATCCTTATTTGGATATTGACTCAGAAAAAGTAAATTGCAATAAAGATGAAAAACTGATGAAGTACAAAATGGAAGCGCTAACATTTTTTTTTTATCTTGGGGCAGCTGGTTGGTTTTTGAAATGATTTTCTCTGGCACTGAAACAGTTATAGATGTAGCTTGCTAGTTTTGTTAATTTTTGGCTGTTGTTGCTTGTTAGCATTGTAATCAATTTATTGGTATTTGTGTTGTTACAATGTATTGAATTTATTTCCTTCAACATTTCAGTTCTCTCATTTTCATACAGCTTCATGCACTCAAGTAAGAAATGCATTTCGTCTTCAATCTCATTTTGGTTGCAAGCAGTGCACTTTCTACCACTGCAAGGAATTTGTTAGTATCGTCCTTTCTCTATTTCTAAATTATGGGCACTAATTCTCAATTTTGTCAATGCTGCTCTATGTTTACATTTGTTACTATTGTATTACTGGGTTTGTTTCAACATCACCACTGGGCATCAGAATCATTCTCATGTTGTCAAATACAATTTGAAGTCTTTTTAGTGCAGTGATATTATTGAATTTCAATCATTATTAATGGGTATAAAATACTGTAAACCATTTAATTTTCACTGCTAGATATATTCAGGATTTTATGGAATTTGTGTACAACATATTTCAATAAAGTCCCTGACACTTCATGTTGTAGGAACCCAGAAAAAAATGCCTTGCGAAATGGCACAGCAACACTGTAAAAAAAAAAAAAAGGTAGTTTAAAATGAGTATAGTCAAAGATATTTTTGAAAGAACACATGTGGGTTCATAAGACATTATGTATACCAATCTGAGTAGTTCTAGAGATTAGTATCACAAGATTTTACTCTCTGTCATTCAATATCAGCACTATGTATATAACGCTGTGTTGATCAGGTGAATTGATGGACAATGCAATCACAGTAGTTTTGTATTCTTCTAGCATTTCGACCATGAAAAAATAGGCCAGTGGCCTGTTGCTCAACGGCGATTGTACAAAAAATTAGTGCTGTATATGCCACAACTTTTCGCTTAAATTTGTACTTTTAAATGAAATATCGCCAAACAACCACACAAAGTTGTCAATGGAATAATAAACACATGTATGCCTAACACCAAAGCATTAAAAATAGTGGTTAGTTGAAATTCCATTTCAACCAAAAATGACAAAAATATTTGCCAAAATTAGAGAATTAAAGATATGGCCATGGGATGAACAAATCTAGTAGATGTCAACACAAGGTACATACACACCAAAGTATCAAAGTATTCAGGCTACCTGTTTTGAAGAAGAAGTCGAAAATAGAATTTTTGACCAAAAATGACCATTTTAAAATATTCGCCAAAATTAGGAAATTGAAAATTTCCTTACCAAATTAACAAAACTGATAGAGGACAACCCAAGGCACATGTACTATCAATATCAGGACTGTAGACCACTTAGTGTCATAGTAGTGTAAGCTACACACACAGTAACAGTAGGATACAAGTAATATATATCGGGCTGTGAGCTAAATGCGGTCGTGGGGACTCGGGTTCGATAACAATATACCCAGCTCAGTGTTGCATGTAAAGTTAGAATGTTGTATTAAAACATAACAAACAGAAACACAATCTTAATGAATGCTACATGGATACAGTAATACACAGTAATGTGTCATGTAACATA